TTGGGTACGGGTATGAAGTTGTCGGATACGGGTCGGGTACAGGTAGAGTAGTTAGGGGTACGGGTTCCATTATTTTTATTTACCCGAAAACCGGAGATTTCAATGGAAAGGCACAAAGTTTTAGTGGAAAAATACAAGATTTTAGCTAAAATACATTAAGTTTTAAAAAACAGTTACTTGAGAACGTAATGATAATTTGTCATCTCCAGCCGAAAAACAAAAGTTTTTCGCTTGAAAACGAAAAGAAAAAACTTTTTAGACATTAGTCGGGTACGGATACGAAGTTTTCGGGTCTGGTAGGGTACGGGTAGAAAAACACTTTCGGGTCAGATAAGGGTACGAAAACGGTACCCGTGTACATCTCTATCCTATAGAGATTTATAAATTTTGCTTTTTCACATTTTCGTGACAAAGAACACAGTTTTTATATTTGTTTATTGTCTGTTTATATAATAATTTGCCATTTCTCTTATTTTAACAACTTTTGTGTCCAAAATAACTACTAGACTGAAAATCAGTTCAAAGCACTAATTTGAATACTGATTAATATTCTCAAGTTCTTTTGTCTTAAAACCTTCTTACCTACAGATTATTTTTGATGCTGATCACAAATATATTACGTATGCATCAGCGTCGGTGTCCACACTGGAAAACTGGGATTGGTTTTACACTGTTACACTAGCTCTGTTCTGTTTTAAATTAATGAACCTTCTGTGGCGCGTAAAGTGCCGAGATGTACTCTCTTGCTATGTGGTGGGTATTTAGTGATCATAGTGCATCCAGGTTTTATTTTTAAGTAGAAATTTCCCCAATTACCTGAGGTTGCTAGTTTAAGTCTGTGGTCAGAAATGAGAATCTTTATTATTTATAAAATGCAGCCTTTTTATTTATCTGAACTGAACTGAAGTTTATTTCATCAAACACATGAAACCCAGAAAAAAAAGTTAAAATAAAACACATGGCAGAAGGGAAAGTAGCAAAAGTCAAGAACTTATAATCATAAGGCTACCACCATTGTACGAGTAGAAAAAAAGTAATAAAATTGAAAGAAAAAAAAACAACCAAATCATCATATGGTGAGCCTAACAAACAAGCTATCCGTTTTTCGCTTCGCTCTTCCTGTTTGACCTATTATAAAATACGTCGTTTTATTACCTTCCGTTGGTATAACTAATATCAGAAATAGTGTAACAATGTGCGCTAGTGCTCGTTTGATCAGTATCTTGGCACTGAAGCATACCTAAAATATATTGGTCATTTTTGCTGATGTGGCTTTTCCCGGCGAATCTCTGAAAAACTGGCGTTTTTTCTCATATCCATTCTGAATTGACTGATAAACAAATTTTGATCTGTCTAGCTTATAGAATTCGTTACATTTTTATCTAGAAAACTCGAACACGTTTTTGATGAGGAGACGCAGAAATAAAACTAAGGTGTGAAATTAAACGGCTGGGAGAAATCAGAAAATAATTTTCTACATCATATTTACTATCATTGATTAATATCATTTATTATTTACTTATACTTGCAATATTTTGGTTGCCAGTGGAAATCTGGTAACTAGTGACGTAGCCAATGCGTGGGTAGGGTGGGCGCTGCTCCGCGCTAAAGAGTATCCCCTCCGTATACACTAACAATTTTATAATCTGCTTCGTTTCTACAGCTTCAGAAAAATTTCGGGCAACGCCCACCCACTATGAAAATCCCGACTACGGCACTACTGGTAACTGTGTAGGTTTTGAGCAAACGAACCTGACTCCATCCGCTCTTTGGGATGTACTAAGTAATACGTGTAATAATTGCACATATCAGATTTATTGTCAACATATCATATTGATCAAGAACATTGCAGCAGAGAAATAATTTGCTTTTTTATTATTTTTCTTCTCTAGTGTATTTTCTTACTCTATATCGGCCAAACATAATACGCTTGATATAAGCATTATTCTATCAGAATACAACCGGAAAATATTCAGTTATAGTATTCTGTATTCTAAACGAAAACTATCGAAAAACACAAAAGCAATTTTGTACGAATAGAGATTCCAACACATGAACTTAGCTTTGCAGTAAACTGCAAAACTAAATCCACTGTTCAACTAATAAGCTTTTATGACGTATTCTTTAAGATTCAACGACTTCCGAGAACTGCGTATCATGTCACTTATCAACTTCTCACCATAAAATAATATCATCTCTTCGGATAAATATTATCAGATCGCTTCGTGCGCATTTCCAGTCAGCAGAAGAGTCGTGTCATACTTAAAGTCATTCTTACCTGTTTTTTAGGTCAAAAATAAAGAAGAAATACGTTATTTTGTCTTCGTTTTCGTTTTCTCTGTTAATAAAGAAGCTAAAGTTAACAAACTATCAGTGTTCTATTTATTCATAGATAAATATGTATTCATATACATTAACACAAAAGAGAAAGCAAAACCGATTAATTCAGACTTGTTCAAAGTGAAAAATATTCAAATATTTGTTATAAAAAATAATAAGTTATTGATCAATTTACTCTAAAGTAAATTCAAAGTAATTCTGAACAAAATTCGGCTAGTATTGAATAAAAACTATTGGGCTGGAATGCGCGATAAATTTGACCTCTAGTCAAAAGTTATTCAGTCTGCAGAAAGCGAAGTTTTGATGAGTAGTACAGAGTGTCAGGGACTAACTAGTCGGTCTTAAAGCAAACACAAATAGCACTGTATGAAAAGTCTGTGTCACTCTGAGCGACAGGTGAATACTCTCTAAGTTCTCACAGTGTGCATCCACGCGGACATTTGTCTGAAAACTGAAATTCCACTTTTCTAAGATTTAAATACTGTCAAATATACTTCGAAACATGCTGTATCGAATGGAAGCAAAAAATTTTATTCCTCTCTTGGAGGTGTATGGAAATTTAGTTAACCAAAAATTAGTCTGAAAATGGCGAGCTGGCCAGGAAAGTTGATATTCTTCAAAACTGTAAGAACTAATGGGTAAATTGAGTACATATTCCGAATCTGGACGCCGAATGCTGAACATTGATAAAAAAAATTAAATTTGCACTTTAGAATTACGAGAAAAAAGAAGAAGAATTTTTCTGAAGTGTTTTCCGAACGACTAAGTGTTGTAAAGTAAAACACGCTAACGTTAGCTACAGTCTAAATTCAACCAAACTCTGCCAAAATGTTCGTCTATAGGCCGCCTATCATCCCCGTCAGCACAAGCATTCCCAAACCGTACAGCAGGTTTTGCAGGTATTTTCCATTTTTCGGGATCCAGAAAAGTATCTATTGAAAAGTAATGACATATTTGGAATCAGCGGACAAACGATCCTCTCAAGAATTTTGGGTCGAAAAAAACATTTTTTGTTTGAAAGTTATTCTCTGGTTGATAGGTAACCATTTCTAAGCAAAAGGAGCGTTTCTGATGAAGAAAAGTCACATATCCACCTGTCATGCGAAAAAATGCGCACTGTGCCTACAGAAGTCTATTCTCAACACCAAACGTTCTCGACTTATACTTAAAATGCAGCCAAAAATGGGAACTGCAGCTTACCAGAGCTCGGTTTTCGACTTAGTTTCTGAGAAATATAAAACGTTTTCGAAAAACTAGCTGTTTTTTTTTTGAGTTTTTATGAAGTTTTGGAAACTCTTCGTATTTCTCAGAAACTAAGTCGAAAATCTAAAATCCGGCTCTGTGAAAAGGTAAAAATAAAAAAGGTGACACATACTTTTAAGGTTCGTTTGATGGTGGTTCTAATGAAGTAAAAAGGTCGGCTTGATCTCTTTACGAAAAAACTAGATATGTTTGCAACACCGTTTATGAACGTCTTAAGTCCGATACGTCCATATGGAATAGGTCTTTGACTTTGAGCTTGATCAAGCATCATTTTCATACTCTATTGTTAATGCTGACTCTAAAAAAATATCTTCGAAAAGTTAGAAACAACGGAAAAGAAAACACTCGGACTTTTTTTAATTTTTCAATGCTTAAAAAATGTTTTAAAAGATTAAAAACCATTTTTCTTATTCAGCTCGATGAGCTAATCCAACCATGTATAAATAAATGGGAAAAAACCTTAATCGAACTTTGAATTTTCGGCATCTTAAGAATTGTAAATTATAATGAGTGGAGAGCATTTTCTAGATCTTTTAACACTTGCACAGCAAAACACTTTTATACAGTTCAAAAAGATGGTTGTTGAGAAAGAAGAGAAGGTCCGTCCAAAACTATCTTGATCACTTTATCTAGGTTTGCCATTGTCGGAATATTTGTGAAACACGCTGACACTGCACTAACAGTTATTGACACGTTCATAACCTCGCTAACACCTATTAAGAGACGTAGATCTGTAGTATTTGATTTTATACATCTTTCTATAGAAGATGTCAGAAAGTTGTCTACGAAATCGAACCATATTCTTAGCGAGAGTGTTTACCAACAATGCGATCATTTTCATTTCAGTACAGACTAATTCTTTAAAAAGACTAAAAATTCACAATGTTGGTGAAAAATAACCTCAACAGAGGTTGATAGATCGAAACTACTCTTTGCTACTCTTCTTTTGTTAACTGTAGTTCAATAACATTAATAATGAAACCATTATCAGTTGTTTTATACTTTATGAAAAATTAGCGAGAAAAAAAGTTTTTCTTCTTCATTAAAAGGTGCTTTAAAAAACGCGTTGAAACGGGTTTTCCACGGGCGTTTTCTATCGGAAAAAGGCGCTTTTCCGCCAACGCGTTGGAAAAAGAACGACGCGTTTAAACGTACAAACAGCGTTTTTTAAAATAAAGTTTGCGTTTCGACGCATTTTTTCGCTGAAAATTTTTTGTTTTATAGCTTTATTCTGTCAGAATACAAGCGGAAGAATATTCCATTATATTCTAAACTAAAACTATCGAAAAACACATAATCAATTTTTATACGAATAGACATTCGAACATGTGAACTTAGCTTTGTAGTAAACTACAAAACTAAATTCACCGTTCTGTATCTATATTCTAATCGACTCGATGTTATCAGTAGTAATTTTTTTTGGTATGTTTTTTGTGTTCTATTTGTTTAAACAGAAAATTTTTTTGAATTTGAAAATTTGAAAATTTTTTACTTGTTTAGGACAATATATTGAAGCATGGAAATCAGAAATAAGAGTTCACTTATTTCATTTAACACGCCGTAGTGATAATTCAGATTGTTTTCCAGAAAGAGGCTTTAGCTGTGATTTGTGGGTTGAGAGACCTCCTGTACAGCACACTTTCGGTAATGTAGAAAAATGATATCTACATTTGAACAATATATTTCGATTTTTAGGTGTACAACGAGAAATCGAGTTTTCACAAAAAAAAAACGAATATGTAAACAAACTGTGAAGAAAATTGTTTCTGTACCACTTAGTCTTTATAAAACATCAGGTGGTGTTAATGAAAATTTTATACAATATTGTCAAAAAAAATTTAGCTGTTCAATTTAGTAACCATCTTTGCGTGAATGAAATTGTGAAATTTAACTTTTATTTGTTGTTTACTAGCACGTCCAATTATTATTGATGGTGATGATGATGATGATGATGATGTGGCTGTAAAATTGAAATGGGCTGGTGCAATGGATGATTTGAATAAACTAGAATCAAAATTCTCACGTGTGTTTGAAGAACATAATGAAATATGTGTATTTGTTTAAGATACTATGTCTCTTGTGTTTTTTTTTCTTCTATTCTTATTTTTATTGTTCAATAATGTTAATAAAAATAAGTCAAAGAAAATTCAGCCGAAACCTAAATAATAAAATTTTGTTAATCTTTTCTAAAATTGTAATATATATCTTATCAAAATCTTAAAGGATAAGATCTTAGTAAGATAATTTTAAGAAGTGTCTAAGATTTTTACTAAAGTTTATAATTGCTATTTCTCGTTGATCTGTTTACTTACGGCTATCCAAAAGTAGTGAGGGAGGTACTATTTTTTCTTATAGAAAGCTTGAAAATTTTTTCTTTTTTTATGAACAGATAGAGCGTCTTTCGCTCTATTTTTCTATGCTATTTGATCACTATTCAACTAATATCATAATAATAAAATTTCGATAAGATCTGTTTCTTTCGCATATGTGCTGATAGCATGAATGCTCGTAAGT